TGGAAAACTTATGGAATAAAGAGCAACATTATTCTATCTCATGTGAGAGGGAATATTCTTTGGTCAGTTTCAGGATATACAGAAATCAGTGCCATGCAGAAGAGATAAATCCATCCCTGGCATGCTGACTCACTGTGACTCTTCTAATACCATTTACTGGAATGACCTTCAATTGAAATGAGAACCACAAAATACCAGTAATTTTATCTGGGGAATATTTATATTTTGGTACAGTAGGTGAATTCCTAATGAAAGGGCATTATTAGAAACATTTCCAAAACTAAATGTGGTTTCATCCCAGGCCTTACATTTCTAATTGGTCCGTATACTTGAAAGGAAGGTTTTTGTTGTTGTTGTTGTTGATGATGTTTTCTTTGAATTTTTAAAATTCACTATTTCCTCATAACATTCTCATGAATAAAATATGTTAAAGAAGATATCTTGAAGCCTAGATTCCTTTATAATAAATCAACCCTATATAGTTTTTCCTCAAACTATCTGCTTTCTGATTCATTGATGAATGAATATATATAGCATATAAATCCAGGGACCTCAAATGTTCTCTCATCAAAGAAGTGAATAGATGACTATCCCAGAGTCTTCCCCCCTGTTAATTCAAAGGATGGACTAACTTCCTCAGGGTAGAAGAGCACAGGGTGAACTCATAATCCCTTCCCAATGCAGGAGTCTTTTATCTCTCTCTGCTGCCCTTTGGACTTTTCTGGAATCTGTTTTCTGGCTGGGCTGCAGGAATTTGTAGCACTTGGAGAATGATATTAGTGTAGCCAGAAATTAGAGCATGGCCTGAATCTGAGAGTCAATCAGAGACCTGAAACCAGCGAGGGTAAGCCACAGCTCTCAGTGTGTGTGTGTGTGTGTGTGTGTGTGTGTGTGTGTGTGTGTGTGTGTGCAGATTACTTTACCCTAGTAACTGTCCTAGAACTTCTAAGGGTACTAATGATCATATTCACCAATTACCAAAAGTTACCATAACCTAAATCATGTAAGATAAAATTACACATATTTAGGCTTACTATGGGAGTTTAGAAAAAAACTATTCATTCTTCTTTCACCTCAAAGCAGTGTATTGTGCAGAAACTTTGAGTCAGGGACATGCTGGAGTCTGGAGATACAAAAGTGAACAGAACCGACCTCGTCCTTAACCCTGCAGTCTGGCAGAACTCTAAGAATTGGTTTGTCGGTGTTGACCCGATGCTGTTGCAGTAGCTGCACCTTTCCTAGGAAGGTGACCTGCACTGTTAGATAAGGGCGTTCTTCAACTTTTCACATGCTAGCTAAAGCAGCTCCAAGACCTGCCAGTCACCTTTGCTTCAACTGTCCACTTACCTAAGTAGACTGTTATTAATGAAGGCAGGAAGACTTCTTCATTAGGAAAGAAGGAGAAGGGGCCGAGACATTAGATTAGAACTTAAACTTAGATTAGAAAGCTATCACGACATTCAATTAGTAATTACTTTGGCTCTTTAGTGTGTTCACCTTTCTCACCTCTGTGACAATACCAACCAATACAACATAAATGGGTAAAGTCTTGGTTTTGAACTTGTAGAGCAGAAGCTGAGATGCCAGTCAGTGGTGACCAACAGTATCTGTTTGGAAAATAGAAATTTCAGCTGGTATTAATCCCCTGATCACGGACTCCAGCCTTCCCATCCCGTCTACTCTCTTACCCCTCAAGGGCAAATTGTTCAGTGTTTAATAAACCTTTTCATACACATTCTGTTTTAAGCCTCCAACTGTGTGGGGATATCCAAACTCCGAGAGCATCAGGCCGCAGAGTTAGCTTGCTCAATCTTCTGCAGTGGCTAACCAAGCCAGCATTCACACCCAGACCCTCAGGCTCCAAACTGATGCCCTTCCCACTATCCCACTGCTGTCTACCCTAAAATTTCAGTTCTTCTTTCTTTCTGTGTGTTGTTTCAACATGTCCTAGTGAGAAACTGGCTTACAACCTGCTGGTTTTCTCCAGGGGCTCTGGAAGCAGCCTGAGATGACCATCAAGAGGGCTCCAGCGCTGCCAGGTGCAGCAGTCCCATCCAGTTCCCTGTCTTCAAGCCTCTCTTGCCTCCTGCACAGGCTTCCTGCAGCTGCCATGGATGCCTGTGAATCTATTTTTAGAAGCAGAGGGGAGCATGTGGGTGGTGTACATTTGAGGGTTTTTAGGAGTCTATTAATAATTTTGCTGAGGGCACCCAGAATTTTAACTTGACTGATTTCAAGACAAATTACCTTCTGGGAAAGATGTGCTTTCCTTTAACACTCCCCATTCCCAGCACAGGTTCTTTCCTGGGTTTTGTTGTTCTACCATCAAGGGCTTCTCCCTAGCACCTGGTACTCAAAGACAAGGACATTTGTAGCTAGCAGCAGTCATAGCTGACTGCTCCCCAAGGGGGGAAGGCTAGTTCTCCTTGACCTCTGTAAGGATTGGCAATGCTCCCTAACATCCTTTTGTAGAAGGGGCTGCTATTTTAAAGATCTGTACAAACATCCACGGGTGGATTCTCCTACTTTTTAAAACTTCCTGAGGTTATTGATTTTATTCTAGAATACACAGACCCCTCTTTTTAGGAACGAGAAAATTATCCCATACAGAAGGCCAAAGCTGGGGGAAATTAATTTTAAGACATTAAAATAAGTAAGACATTAGAATATACCTATATAAAGTCTCTGCATTTGGGGACATAATTGTGGCACCTCTGTTTAAAAAAACAAAAAAACCCTGGTTCAAAATGTTTCTTGCTTTATCAAGTTAATGATGACAATGTATATAAATGTAAACACATGCTTTTGAGGTTAACTTTATGTTGAGAGTGTCACTGTTAAAAGGAATCAATTCATAAGGTCAAACAAAAAATGTTCAGGCATTAATAGTGGGAATAAGCTGAAATATTTTCAGTTTCAAAATTAGTGACAACATCAATGATTAATGAGCACATTCCTTTTCAGGCAGGTTGCTTTCCAGTGTAAGCTAGAGCATGTGTCATAAAGGTGCCAAGTATCACTAGCCATGATTTTTCAAGTACTGTCTCAATAATGAAACGTACCAAAAAGTCATTACATTCTAGCATCCTCCTTACTCACAAATTCTCAAAACAAGCTCCCTCATATGAGTTAGGAATGATTGTTTATCTTAATCACATCAGAATAAAACAGAAATCACTTTGCTTGGGGTGGACTCTTCTGACAGTGACGGGTACTTATATCCTCCAAGAATCTTTTTCTAATCTTAACAGTCTGTTTGCAAAACCCCATCACTAAAGGGGTTAGGAAAACTACTCTAGCTAAAATGAAATGGCAGAGAATCACCATTTTCCTTCCAATACCATAGCATTGCCTGAAAGCCAATTACTTTGAAACAGATACAGCACACTCTTGGACTAGCTCATACTCCCTGTAACTCTGCGTGAATCTAGGGATCTGAGCTCACTGACCAGCAAGCCAAGGGGCCGCCTGGTAAACATGGGAAGACATGAAAGAGCTTCTTCTGTCTGTCTCTTGTCTGTGCTTTCTCACAGCAGCAGTGCCTAACTTCATTTCAATACCCACCCACACATTCTCAGTGCCACAAAGCCAGGCATTTCCTTCTCCCACCACGCTCACGTCCCACAATTGCCTGAGGTAGTAGTGGTAAAAGTCCTTGCATATTTTTAATAAGAATTTTAGAAGGAAGCAGGCCTTGCCTTTGCTAGACATACAAGTTCTCTTTCTTAACTACTAAGCCCCAACCCCCAAGAAAAAACAACACACCAGGACCATCTTCTTATTCACTACATGCAAAAGAAATGTTATTAAACATTTTTCTTTTTAGTTCTCAGACCAGTTCACAGAATGGCTTTGAATAATGTCTAAATATTCATGTAATAAAGATATATTTCCCCTTTAACTGTACTGTTTGTGTATGGACTTGGTAATCAATATTTAAAAGTCCATTTTGCTTTAATTATACTACACTGTTCAAACCTCTTAAAAAGACACACATGTAATTTGGGAATGTCTGTATACTCATAAAAACTGCATGTCTCACAGAGGGCTCTAGAAAATGACTGGAATTTGTCTGTCCTCTCACCCTGGATGCTCATCCTACACTCCTAGCCAGAGCCTTGAGTTGCTTTTGGTCCCTATCCCAGCTGCTTATCCAGTGGTTCTGGTTCATTCTAACAGCATCCATGCATGTGAGGAAGATAGAAAAACGGCAGAGATCTGTGAAAGGGCCCCTGTTCTAGGCGTTGGCCTACTGGCTCTTTCAGCAGTGCTGAGGAACTCCATGGTGTAGTATTTGGTTTAGCAAGAGAAATGTCGGCTCCATAGTCTGCCCTTCAACATCTGCATGAAGGGAGAGACCTAGGTGTAGATTCAGAGATTGATAAGCTTGTGATTTCCCCCCTTGAAGCTGATTGAATGTTTAGAATGCATAAACGGACAAAATGGCTTTATGATGTCAAGATACCCAATATATTTTCTCTTCATCATGTGAATCTAGTTCACTTGACACAGCTTAGCAGCTCACCTTGCTCAGAGTGGACCTCAGCCATGTTATATCTGAGTTCAGCATTAAAGTTCATTCTCTTTTATGGCCTTTGAATATCCCCATCCCCTGCAGCACAGGCTCAACTAAGGGCCTTGGGACCCTCATTGTAAATGGGGGGCAAGAACCAAATGAGCTCTCTGGCTTCTTCTAGAACAAAAGGGCCAGATGAGTTCTCAGTTTTCTTCCACACCCAGTGTCTATGGTCATGTAGTTCTGTGGTTCTGTAGTTTTCTGTAGTGAGCCCTGGGACCTCCTCCTTGGTCATGGCTTTCCACATTAGTAGCTGAGTTTACAAGAACAGCAGAATGTTGAACAGCCCCAGGATAAATGAGGGACTCTTTATAACTTAGTATTGATACATAACCAAAACACTTAAATTCAGAAAAGACCAAAAACAAAGTAAAAAAAAAGAAAACACCAAAACAACCACACAACTGTTTCTTTTTCTTTAAAGAGATCTGGCAAGGATGCAGAAGGCAATGAAGATGGTCAAAGATGAGGATGTGCCATTCAACTTGGCTGCGAAGAGCATCTCCTTTCCCCACTGCCTACAGCCAGGGGCTTTGCGAGGAAAGGCTCCCCAAAGACACCCCTTCCCAGGAGCTCTCCGGGGGCCCTTTTCCCAGTTTCGGTATGAACCTCCTCCAGGAGACCTTGACGGATTCCCTGAGGTGTTCGAGGGAGGAGGATCCCGGAAACGGAAAAGCATGCCCACAAAGATGCCTTACAACCATCCTGCGGAAGAAGCCACACTTGCCCTCCACACTGAGGAGAGCAAAAGCCACGGCCCTCCGAATCTCCCTCTGCTCTTTCCACAGCAATCACGTCCCAAGTGTGACTCTCAGATGATCGACCTGTGCAACGTGGGCTTCCAGTTCTACCGCACCCTGGAGCATTTGGGGGGCAAACCTGTTAAGCAGGAGCCCATTAAGCCCAGCGCGGTGTGGCCCCAGCCCAGGCCTCCTGCCTTCGTGCCCACGCCCTACCCCTACTACCCCAAAGTCCACCCGGGCCTTATGTTCCCCTTCTTCGTGCCCTCATCCTCACCCTTCCCCTTCAGCAGGCACACCTTCCTACCCAAGCAGCCCCCTGAGCCAGTGTTGCCCCGGAAAGTAGAGCCCCAGGAGAACGAGGAGACGAAGCAGAAGGTGGAGAGGGTGGATGTGAACGTCCAGATCGATGACAGCTACTACGTGGACGTGGGTGGGGCTCAGAAGCGCTGGCAGTGCCCCACCTGCGAGAAGTCCTATACATCCAAGTATAACCTGGTGACACACATTCTGGGCCACAGCGGGATCAAGCCACATGCATGCACGCGCTGCGGGAAGCTCTTCAAGCAGCTCAGCCATCTGCACACCCACATGCTGACACACCAGGGCACACGGCCCCACAAATGTCAGGTGTGCCACAAGGCCTTCACCCAGACCAGCCACCTGAAGCGCCACATGATGCAGCACAGCGAGGTGAAGCCACACAACTGTCGTGTGTGCAGCCGGGGCTTTGCCTACCCCAGCGAGCTCAAGGCCCATGAGGCCAAACACGCCAGCGGTCGTGAGAATATCTGTGTGGAGTGCGGCCTCGACTTCCCCACCCTGGCTCAACTGAAGAGGCACCTCACCACGCACCGTGGCCCCATTCAGTACAACTGTTCTGAGTGCGACAAGACCTTCCAGTACCCGAGCCAGCTGCAGAACCACATGATGAAGCACAAAGACATCCGGCCCTACATCTGCTCCGAGTGTGGCATGGAGTTCGTGCAGCCCCACCACCTCAAGCAGCACTCGCTCACCCATAAGGTATGGGGGGGGGGGCTGCTCACCCAGGGGTGGGCTGCTGGGATTCAGAGAAAAGAACAGAGCTGGGGCCCTGTGGGTGGGGATACCCATGATTCTCCTGACCTTAGATGCAGAGGAGTTATGTGACTGGCCAAAATGGCCCCCTTACCGTTCACATAGCAAATAGAGAATGACAAGACAGAAGTCAATCAAACCCTTTCCCAGAGTAACTTTAGAGTCTAAGGTGGGCCTGGAAATAAGCAATGCAGACATTTAGACAGGACACTGAGGGAGGATGAAAGAGCATCTGGCTGTGGTGCTGCTGCTTCTTAGCCCTCCAAGAGTCCCTGGAATTTTGTTTCTAGAAAATTCTTTCAGGGCACTAAAACAAGCAAACCTGTCATCAGACTCTAGATCACCCCAGTGCCTGGGATATACCCTAAGAACCACCATCTAGAGAATCCTCTTAGAGGTTTTTGCTGCTTTTTGGTTTGTTGACTGGCTCTGTGCTAAGCCCTGCTTCCTATTCTTGGCTCCAGGCCAGTTGAGCTTGGCCCTGTCAATCAGGGCCTATGTTTCCTGGTGTTGAGCCCCTGCCTGCTTGAGTTCACTGGCGTGTGGTTTGTTTGCAGGATACAGGATGAAGCACCATTTCTCTGCTTGGTTTTATCTTCTCTAGGCTCAGATCTCCACAGAGAAACACAGGCCCAAGGCTTAAGTTCTGCCTCATTTGCAACCAATGCCCAGGAGTTTGTCAGGCTGAAACAAACCAGGCCCCAGTGGCCTCTTGAGGGCTTACTCCAGCTGGGCTGACTTGGGTCTACTTTAACCTGCTAAGAGGGGACTTTTGCCCCACTGACCTCTAGCCTCACCCTTGACCTTTGTGGTTTTCTTGGCAAGAGAGACTTCTAGCAAGCCGGAGTCTCTAAAATATCCTTTAATTCCGAAAGGTCAACTGAGGACTTTGCCCAGCCAAGATAATGCTGTGGCTCTGCTCTAATGGATTTCATTTGATAGGTTAGGACAAAATATACAGTGTTTTCTGGCTCTGCAGCAGAGATGCAGCTCTTGTCAGACAAAAGGCTCCTGTGGATACCATCTGAGGGGTGGTGCCTACCAAGTGCAGGAACCATCAACAAAGGAACTAGACTTCTATTTGGCCACAAAGGGGACCATTGGCTTAGTTCAGGGGTGCATGTGTGTATATAGGGAATAGGTATCAAAGGTGCATGTTAGACCACATGGATTCTATAACAGAAAATGAAGTTAAAATGGGAGAAACAACCTGGTGTCTGAAATAGATTGTATTTGAATTAGTAAACAAAACACATTTGAATAGAGGCACAAGCAAACAATGAGAGGTTGTATCATTAAGTACTTCTGTGGTAGGTGCATTACTTCTCCTTTAGTATTTATTCTCAGTGACTCTGGAAGCTGTTTCTGATCATAGATAAAGATACCAAGCCATGAGGAGGTCACTCAGAAATCCCAACACTAGCACTTAAGTCTTAATTTGTGGGTGTGTGCTGTGTATGTATGTGTGCACATGTGTGTGCACACCCATGTGTGAGCGTTTAGAGGCCAGAAGTAGCACCAAGTATCTTCTTCTCTTGCTCTTCATCTTCACCTTTGAGACAGGTTCTTTTACTGAACCTGGAGCTCACCAATTAGCTAGAGCATCTGACCAGTGACCCCACCCACCCCGAGGAGTCTACTGCCTCTGCCTCCTGGTGCTAGGGTTACAGACACACATCACCAAGCTTGGCTTTTTACATGGGTGAAGGAAATCTGAACTCTGGTTTTCATGCTTGTGCAGCAACTACTTTGCCCACTGAGATATCTCCCCAGCTCCAGCTCCTAAGCCTTAACTACAACTATCAAGACTCTCCCTCCCATCTCCTGGCCCCTAACCACTCTCAGAGGCTCCTTCTCTATGATGTCACTGGTCCTGCTGCAGCTTCCTTTAAGCTCCAAGACTATACCCAGGCTCCTCTCTTGCTTTCTGGGCTAGCCCATTTATTAGTCCTATTTTGGAGACAGAGTTCTCTCTAAGGAATTCCAAAGAAATATAAATACTTCTCCTTAGTCCCAGGCCAAGCAGATCCTACACAAGCCCAGAGTGGAGGTTTTCAGGCTGAAACAAAAGAGGCCCCAGTGGCATCCTGAGATCTTACTCCAACTGGGCTGTCTTGGGTTTGCTCTGTGTGTGTGTGTGTGTGTGTGTACTTGAACCTGGGATCTTATGCCTGCAAGCATACTCAGACACTGAACTAACTATACTGCAACCCCAGACTCATCAAAAAATATTTGATTTTATAACTTTAAACTCACTGAATATGCAATATATTTTTAAATTTTTAAATTCTTAGAGGACATTAAAAATCTAATTTTCAGAGGAAGTTGATTCTAAAGTCTTTTTATTAACATAAATCCATGCCATCTGTAGTCATTTAGAATACAAAGTGTTTACACCAAGAACAACCCCTGGGTTCTCAAGACTTTTCTTTTTTTTTTTTTTTTTTTTTTTTTTTTTTTTTAAAAAGGTCTC